AGGTACTGCTAGCATCCTAACCCAGGAGATGAAGCTGAGTGAAAATACACCCACCAGGTATTTACCCTGTTTCTTGGACAACTTTTGTAACCCAGGAAGAGGCTGCTGCTGTTGGATCTCTACTGGTATATCGGTAGCTTTGATATTTCTGCTGTGCACTGTGGGCACATCAGGATAGACCAATCCTATGAAGCAAATGGGTATGATGTCATTTGAGACCCAGTTTCATTGAAAATCATTAATTTTTATGTGTTAATAGCTAATGAAATATTCATTGGTATGAAGAAGAGCTTTGAAGTCGTTGCACGTATAAGTGATACATCTTCAGCTCTCTGATTTGCCTCCTCCCCTCTGCCGTTTTGCCCCAGGGATCAGCAGGCACACGCGCGACCTGGCGCCTGCCGCTGCCAGCACAGGACGGGTGGGCAAGCCGTGGTGATGCTCGCCGGTAGAGCTGCCTGTGCTGTGACATGCAAAAGTGGGGCTGCCCACAGAGCTTGCTAGCAGCTTTGTCCATGATAGGACCCACCTTGAGGTGAAACTGCTTTGAGAGGAGACACAAGTTTTTTATGTATTACTAAAAGCACTTTCATGAGAGGAACTGAAAACACAAAACGATTTTTAGCACAGATACCTTGTACATTGGTACAGGTACAGCTGTGCAAAGGCAGTACAGAGATGCCTCACAGCTTTCACTCTTGGTAAAATCTTTTATCAGTTGATACTGATACCCATACAATGAAATCTTTTTTTATACATATTTTTGCAGGTGCCTTTTAACTACAATTTACAATTTTGTACCAATGCTCAGGAAAGAGTGGAGTTGCACTGTGGTCTTCTGAGCACTGGGCATCTCCTCCAACAACACACAGCAGGGAGGGCAAAGCAGCCTTTCCTCCTCAAACTGCATTTTAGAAGAAGAATGACATGTTATTCCTGTTTTCTAAGAAACAGGGTAGGTGTTTCCCTCGGAGGATAATCCAGGGCAGCAAATCCCATGTGGAGGCAGGCGTCTCCTGGCAGTGCTGAGCTGGGTATGGGAGCCCCAGAAGGAGAGGAATTTAAGATCCCTTCATTTCTCTGCTGCCAGCCCAAGGTCACCCCCTCCTAGCTTGGCTGGGTTTCCCTGGGGCCCAGTCTTCCCAGATGCCGGCCGTGGTGCACTGGCACTCAACAGAAACGTTGCTATGAAGGTAGGCAGTAGGAAACAGGTCTGCAACGCTCAGGCTTGTCTTATGAAATCAGGTTTTATTCTTAACTCTTACCCCTTCCAAGCACAAAGCACCTTGAAGAGTAGGAGCATGTGGATTGCTTTGTGTCTTCTAAACTCTATTGCAGTTTACTCTTCTGGGCAAAACTTCTATTCCCATTTCTAGGTGATCTTATTCTCCTCAAAGCTTCAATAAGCCTGTAAGTAACAAGGAATAATAAAGTCTTGATTTAATGAATAGTCTGCTCAGCTTTGGCTTGATTTTGTCTGAAGTGTGTGCAAGTGAGACACGAGGTGAAACCCTCCCCTAGTACTCTACTGCACAACTGCCTTAGAGACAGTAGATCTATGCCAAATTTACACCAGTAGTCAAGGTGGCAGGGAGGGTTTTGTCAAATATGCCACCTGAGTTTTGTGACTAGACATGATGAAGGGCCAAAAACTGTCTCTCCTCTAAGGAATTTTCTAAAGACAGAACATACAAATTATGTTTGACTGTGCATCATTACGTTGACCTTTACACAGGACTCTGCAGAGAACTGGTACAAGCCAATATGACAAGCCAATATGAATTTCTTTGATAAATAAGATATATAATGTGATCAGAACGTCATCTGAAATTGAAGCTTGACATGTGAAATCCACTATTAAACGCCTGTTTGATGCTTTCTTGATTTTAGGACTCATGCAAATTAATGCATGCATGGTGGAGAGGTCATTACGGACCCTGACGCATCATTTCAGGCGTGTACTAAGCTGTACAGAGTTGCGTGTACCTTTCATTCACAGATGTTTGGCATGAAGAGTGCACCAATTTGTTTGCTAAACATCAAAGCACAATGTATAGCGAATCATACTGTAAAGCAATGCAAACCATTTGTTAGCGAACAGCCCGTTTCGCCTGCCACCAAGTGAGTATGTCACAGATACAAACAGTTCCCTACTCATTCCCTCACTAATTTGAAACATCACTTTCACCAACGAAGAGCAACCCTGGAATGGAAATGCATAAATACAGGGTCACAGCACTTCAGCTGAAAGGGGGCTTAGAGCATTACATGTAGGAAGATCATGCATAACCTAGTTTATCAGGCAGAAAATAGGACAAAAGGCCTCACCTTGGTGTGTAGGAGGAAAACTTCCATGCTTGGATCTCAACAGTGGATGAAATTCAAGGTAAAAAAGAGCTAGTGACACACAGAGCTAGTGGCACAAAAAGAGCTAATGCCCTGATGCAAAAGGGCAGTTGAAAAATCGCAACAGGCCAAAATGACTTTGCATATCTAACCACATAGGTCAGTTTTAATCACTGTGACAAGTGCATACAAGTCTGTCAAACCAGTCATTTAAATGGTGTAACTGAGGCAAGTTTGACCCCAAATCCATGCCTGACATGCATTTGGAAACAAATCGAGTGAAGGAGTTAAAGAGCGTTCTCCAGGCTTGAACTTTTGTGTCTGCATTAAATAAATAAATGCCTCAAATAGCCATTTCATTGAGAACCAAGAAAGTAGTTGCTCTGTTTTGCTAGCGCTAACCCTGAGCAGTTGATAAGGCAGAAGCAGAATCCTGATAAAATCTCCATTCCACTATTTGCAGGCTCTGAAAAAACACACTTCTAATGCATGCTAGTGCCAGTGGTGTAATATCACCGGCAACGTCTCCCGCAGTGCCTCCAGAGAGGTCTCACCATCAGAGGAGTCTCTGAACCTCCCAGGTCTGTGCTGGAAGACCAGCCTGGGGAGGGGAAAGAGCAAACGGCTGCTCTCGGGAAGAGAAAATGAAGCAAAAAAAGCGGGGAGGAAAGGGAAAAGAGTTTCAGGAGGACTGAAGAAGTCGGTCTTGAAATCACTTCTAGAAAATAGAAAAATGTAGGTAAAAATGAGAGGAAGACATTTTTTAACATGAAGAAAGAAGAGAAAAGCTAGACAGGGAAAGAAAATGGAACTGGAGAGGTGCAGAAAGACATAGGACACCAAAATAAAGAAAGAAGGGGTAAACAGGAGACAAACAGATAGCAAGTAGAAGTGGCCAAAATGTCTTCTTTTTTGACCATTCATAGAGCTGATTGTCAGGGTTGGAACTGGGGGGAAAAAAGGGAAAAAAAAGGAATTTTTGAAAACAGCAGAGGAGTTTAAAGACAGCCACACTATTTTTCCTGCCCAGGAAAAAATAAGAGAAGTATTGCCATCTGATTCTCTATTCCTCTTTTCAGGGATGTGGCGGGGTGGATGGGTGCTTTACAATGTCATGAAAGACAGAGCCGCAGAAGCTTGTGTCAGATACAGACAGGCACAGCATGTTAATGGCTGAAAAAGGGTTCAACAAAGCTCTTAGTCTCCCCTGCCATTTCCATTCTCTAACAGCTGGAATCACGGCTAATATTAACAAGCCTTAACTCTTACCAGCTAAAGAGCAGTGTAAGATATCACAATCAGAAGTATTTTCTTTGAGATTACAAGCAAAACAAGTATATCTTCCTGTAATAATTCTCCATAAATCTTTCACTAATACTTTGCTGAAATTCAATGTCATTAACCATTTTTTAATTAATTGTTGTTTGTTTTGTTAAACGATGTCAAGAACAATAGCACAGACCGACTGTTGTATTACATTTGTTTATCTGGTCCTCTTTTTGCCCTTAGAAGCACGTTAAGCTCAAAGCACTAATGTCTGAAATATCCGTGTGGAAAGCACAAAGTTTTTTCCTTCTACTATATGTACAGCTTCAGCTTTAAATAAAGGTCACACCACATTTGAGGAGAGAAGTTGCGGGGGAAACACTTACATGATGTAACATGGTCTGTTACAGGACTTATGCTCAGGTCTCCCTTTTCAGAGTCACTTTAAAATCCCAAATAAGATAATTTTGTTCCATGATGTGCAGATGCTTGTTAGATTTCTGCACTTGCTGGGCAGTTACTGAATTGCCTCACAATTAGCATTGGTGGTCCTGGCCTGTGTTACCAAATGGTGCCAGCGGCCACCAAGCAAAATAAAAAGGGTGGTTGGTGTTGGGGGACTGGTAGATCACAGCAGGCACCATGTTTCAGTCACTAACTCAAGACACCTCAAACATGAACATCGGTGTCTGGGCTAGTAAACTAGCCTTCCTTCACAGACAATGCAGAGAAACACGAATGCATTGGGCACGAAGCATCTGACTTATTTTGGGTATCCACTTTAAGCTGTTCTGAACTGTGTTTTAAAAGTACCTGTTTCTATCCATTGACTGTGAAGGTAGTCTGGGGTGGTCACCACAGATGTACATATCTACACTGGTCAGATGAGTCCTCTCCTAGTGACCACACATGGTGGTTTTATGATGACTGGTGAGTTGGGTCCTCAGTGGACATGACTGGTCATCATCCCAGTTTGAATGACGCTGCACTTTGAGGAGAAAGGCCCAGGACTGCCCCAAGGCAGACCCTGACCCAGTGCCCAAGCCTCCATTCCAGGGATGAACGTGGTGGTGGAGGGCTCTCCTTCCAGCAGCCTTTGTCTCATGCGACACCTCTATCTATACACAGGCTAGCACGGGGAGACCAACAGCCCATCAACAGGGTTTAGGACCAGACCCCTCATCTTCCAGGTGGATCACGAGGCTTGACAAAATTTAACTGCTGGTTTGACCTGTGTTCAGAAAGGGAAAATAAAGAGGAAAAGTTCAGTGTTATGATGCACCTTACATGTTCTTGCTTTCAATCTGTATTGACAAGGAAGATGTTTATCTCTGTTCTTTCTTCTCCCCCATCCTGCCTATACATCACTGAACCTGGGATCACTCAAGGAAACCAATGAGAAAAGAAGAGAACGGAACCAGTCGGGCTGAATATGCAATGACCTCCTCCCAAAACAACAAAACAGTTGATAACAATGCGGTCGTATAATCCCCAAAACCCCGCCGAGGCGCAGGAGGTGGTAAACTTTCAAAGCACACACATGGAGTATGCAAGGTGGGTGAAATAAGGCAACGAAAGGAGCTCTGTGGCCAAGGACTTCATTTCAGAAATAGCGCACGCATCAGTGATTCAGAAGAGAAAAGCAGGCTGCTCTTCAGGCTTGCTGCTTCTCCAAGGGAAGATAAAGTCGCCCACCCAGGCTGCCCGGAGACAAGGCCTCACAAAGGCATAAGCATTGCATGCTGCATCTCGTGAAAGCAATGCCTCCTGCTTCTTCTTCTTCTTCCTCTCCTCCTCGCACTTTTCAGTTTGAATTGAGTATCCACAAAAAGCTGATGAAATAGGGTCTTTTGAGGAGAAGGTGATCTGCCAGAGTGGCAGCAGCTTATTGTAAATGGGTCTGAGGGTCAAGGGTGGGAGGTGTCACCTATGTGCTTCTCCAGCCTGTGCAGTTTTCTACTCCTATACTTCATTCTTATCATTCTTATTATTTCATTATTAAAAAGGGAACAAAGATTTCTGTTAAGCCATCAAGCAACCAAAAATTGCACGAACTTGTGACTTATCCCAGGAAATTCATCTGCGGTCTGGTGACTATGCAATTTCCATGGCTGAAGACTTTTCAGGCAAAAGAAATCAAAATGTAAGATTTAAGCAATTAGCATTGCTATTGAAAGAGAGATATTGTTAAGAGGTGCTTTGGACGTTATTGCTTCATAATCAGCCTCCTTTTTTGCATCACACTTTATTTTTTATCTTTTAAAAAGTTCTTCCTTTGTGAAATTCTACACATTTCTCTGTTTTCATCACGCTGATACCTCCTGGAAACCCCTACAGAAAAGATGTTGTTTACATCTTGGCATGAGTATTTGGGCGGGATTGTGTTGAAAGGACTAGCAGCCCTTTGAAGTCCTCTTCATTCACTGATTAGTGTTGTTTCCTGAAAGTGTTGAGTCTCCTGAACTGACCCACTGAGGACATTGTAGGTCTGGCTTGGAGGACCACTTTTGAGGGTCTGGTAAGCTGGTTGTGCCCATGTTAACTCAGTCTCTGCCTCTCCTGGGCAGAGACTGCCGATCGTGCCAAATTCAGCATAATAGCTCAGTGTTGTACTTTCTGTGACATGGATTGCAGACTACTTAAAGCAAAGCTGAATCCACCCAAATTCATTTCACATAGGATCTCAGGTTAGACTCAGTAAGTAACCCTTAGTATAAAGGCGATGAGACTAGCCGAGACGCTGGTCTTTCCCCACCTCCTGAAAACTTTCCTTCGTGTCACACCTCCACATGTATGTCTCCATTTACCTCTCTGCTGAAAGTAGTGATGCAGTGAAAGACAAATTTCCACCCTGGCTTCTTGTCTGGACGTCAAGCTTCGATACCACTCGGTCTCCGTGTCTGTGAGTAACTCCCAGACTGCGCCCCAGCCGTTGCGTCCCTCAGTACTGCAACACACCGATGCTTTCAGTTTTATATAAGGATGTGCCTGAACTGCAGAAATCAACCCTTGATTTTGAATGCATTCCTGTCTGCGGTTGGTCTATTGCCAGGATGTAGAGTTTGGGCTGATGGTAGAGGAAGACGATGTTCTGCAGACCTTCCCTGAAACAGCTCCGGGATGTTCAAATCAGCAGTTTCAGCTCAGGCCCATCTCTAGTTTTCTATTACCTACTGAACAATAGGGTGTATGTAAATATAAGTATCTTTTCAATGATAAAATGAAATGCTGCTATATACTGCTGTTGAGGAATTTATGGAATTATTCATTTAGCTTTTCAGCCTGTCATCACTATGTAGAAGTTTAGCTACATAAAATTATTTTTTAAAGGCTAGATTTTCTTAAGAAGTGAATGCAATTACAAAAGTGAAAGGGAATAAGGAACCCTTTGCCCAAGAGTATGATCATTCCCTGCCATATTCATGTTGTGTGCTTGCACAAGACACAGTGATATGTTCTTAGATCCAAAGTGGGATTAAAATGACAGAATTTACACTTCGAGTCTAGTATCCCAAATGTTGATTGCCTAAAGCACTTAGCCCCTAAATACTATAATACAAATATTGCAAGTATATTTCTAGAATATTTTTTAAGCTATAACATTTATTTTGGTGTAGTTACCTATGTTTGCCTTTCTTTTTTTACTGCAGTTGTTTCTGCCTAAGTGTGGCATAGTTTGAGACTGGTTGCATGTTTAGCTGAGAGTATAAAGTATGAATGCAGATGAGTTTAGCATGATACGGGCTCAGGATTAGCACTTTCTCCTGAATGTTGTTGATTTTATTTATTTCCTGATACAGCTTTAAAGGCATGTTCTGTAAGGCCAAAATCACAAACGGGATTTGTAGCTCATTATGCCCATCCAAATGTGTCTGGTTTTGCAAGAAAAACTCTAAAGAAATGGTGACCAGACACTGTCTGAATTTCAGTGATGTCAATGGTAAAGTGTCCTCACTGAGAGAAAACCCTGGTGCATGACATACCCCACAAGCAAACCCACCCCAGGCCCCCTGAGGTCTCCTCAGTGGAACATAAGCATTAAAAACTTCATGGAAGGCAGGGAGGCAGGACATTTCAAGGACTGGGATCTACTTTCAACTCTGCCACTGATCTGCTGTTTACTAGCAAGTAATTTTGCCTCTCTGTGCCTCAGTTTACCCATCTGTATAATCAAGATAAAAATACTTACCAGCTCTGTGGCAGGATTTTCAGATATAGATGTATCCTATTTGCATAGGCAGATTTACACTATCATTATCTGCAACATGCTGACATTAAATAAACTTATTTGGGCACATCATCGCCATAATATTTCCTAAGCAAACATTCCCCAGTGTGCTTTTTTAATCCGTTGGCCACAGAAGAGCAGCAGCAGACAGGCTGAGAGCTGCTCCTCTGCTTGTCCAGAGCCTTCGCTCTCAGCACTTGCACAGCTCCACAGTGGGGAGAGATGGGAAATCCTGCACAGGATAGTTTTGCCTTCAGATTCCTGCCCAAGTACAGTTGACAACATATTGCACCAAAATTTAAGGTGATCTTCAGAAAGGCACTTGGAAAAGTATACTGGAAGCAGACGTAAGTCTTCAGAAAAGAGAGGCTAGAAAGGCGGTGTCATTGAGGAATGATTTCTGAAGTTTGCTGATGTGATTTAAGGTTGTGTTTAACACTCTACAGACTACCTGTAAAGCTTTTATAAAAGAGGCTTCTGTGCTTCCTTATTGTACTATAATTAAATACAAAGGGAAAGGAATAGGCTTGATGGTATAAGGTCACTGAGCAGTGACCCTGGATCTGGGGAACTGGCAATCCAAAATACAGCTTTACATGCATTTCGAGTTTATTTTTAACCACCAAAATATCAGGTGTAGAAAGGTCCTGATAGTTCCATTCACAAAATAGCCAGATCCCCAGCAGACAAAAAGGTGGCCAATTTCTACGCAGAAGTTAACTGCTCTGACCCCTCTGACCACCACCAGACAGACTCAGAAAACTGCTGTGTTCAGTCTGAGGGAGAGCATCAACTCAAAATTTCTTCTCAAGGATCACCACTAGCAGACACAAGCAGGGAATGCACTTTAAGGGCCTGAGCTGCAAAATGTTGAGTTTCCTCAGCCCTCAGCAGTGCCAGGAAGGTGGAGCTGAAGCCCCAGCCCTGCCGCCCGTCCTGGCTCAGACCCGACACAGTGGTGTGACCAGGAAAGCATCTCGACCTTGGATAGATGCTGCAAAAACAGACATGGAAGGAAAGAGGAGAGTACTAAGTATAAGATATAAATATATCAATATATATCTATACAGAGACCTAATTATCCAGTCTTGCATGCCATATGGTCACAGCATGTGAAGCAAGTGTGGGCCTCCTGCTCCAACCAGGTCATGACCATAGATGCTGCCAAGCAATGGAGAATCAGGCCTATGGTAGATATGTATTTACAATACTCCCTGCACCTGTACAAACAAAAATATATTATTTTAAACTGCAAAATAGTGTGTTTAAATCAATGCATGAATGTAAATATTCTAAGATCTGCCTTCTTGACTGTGTACCACATGTACAGATGAAAACGAATATTGTTTATAGGAAATCTGTATCAGTGGTTAAATGACTAAAGAAAAAAAATATCGGAATTAATGTTGTCATGTTTCTCAAACAAGCCATTAATGTATATTTAGTATTTAAGGATATTGCTCAATAAATATGTTCCATACCAAAAACTGTGTTGCATATACAGATTGTGCAGTACCCTATTTTAAAAAGGCACCATAATTAATTTTTATTTTAAATAAAAATGTACTTGTAAAAAGTTTCCTGTGTCCTGTCGGTTATGTAGCTGAGAACAGAGCCTACATGTTGAAGAGAAATGCTGAAGGGAGGAATGGCTGCGGTGCCTCTTCAGGCACTTCTCTGACTGCGCAAATGAACCCTGCTTCCTTGAACACTTTCTGTTCTGGTTTTGGAGAAGCTCGTGGCTGCTGCTCACACCTGTGGAGGTGGTTTCTGGTTCTGTCTCGCCTAACCTTGCAGTTTTAGTCCCACATATGTGCACTGCTGGTCCTTCATAAATGAAGGAATTAATTACACTCATACATTTCTGCAGCCCCCCAAAGCTCAAGAAACCCCTTCTCTTTATGCCAAAGGTGCTGCAAGTTTCCCTAAGAACATACTCTAGTTTTAGAGTGATTTCTTTATCTTTCACATAAAACTCCATACCGTTGTTTATTTTGGTGCAAGTGATAAAGTGCACCATTTTATATTCAAACCCCCTGTGTGGGCTTCACCCTCCCTTTTCCACACAAGAACAAAAGCAAATTACGGACCAGTCCTTCAGCAGACCAACACTGACTTACAGTTGCTAAACCTGGATCCTTTGGCTGGGATTCCCCCCTCACAGTTTTATGCCTTTACGAGACAGGGGTGAAGAGCACAGTCTGTGTGAGGTCCTCTGAAGCCAAGGGGCCATCGCAACCTGAACCCTCCTTCACAGCGG